TCGAACTGGTAGATTAACTGATTATGCTGCGTCTGTGGTGAGAAGAAAGATAATAGAAACTATTGCAATTGATAGAATAGGAAATACGTGGAATGTGAAGAATGCTTGGGAAAAGTTGAATAGAAACTGCCTATGCTTTATGATCATCAGCTTACACGAAATTGCGAGAATACATCTCATACTACTGATTTACTGATAGTCACGAACACAATAATTAATTCGAAAAATTGAAAGTAGATAAGTGTTGAGCCTACATCCAAAAATTTAACCAAATTAATTAACAAAACCATTCTACAAAAGTTGTTTGACCTTGTTTCGCAATCTGGTCATATCGGTAGGACGACTTAGAGGAACGCATCTTGTTGCCATGCTTAGCACGACACAACAACTCGTCAAAGAGACAAGTGAAGCCCATCCTTTGACCAAACGTGGGCTAAACAGTTGTCGTATCTCCCCTTCTGCCCTGGTCCATTCACATTTCCCATATCCCCTAATCACACCCCTCACTAACACACTTTTTTACTTGTTTAATTAAATGTGGTACGGTGTGCCCTTTTTTTATAGCAACTTTCACGAGAACCCTCCACAAACTTCACGCTGGCCTTCTCACCCCCTTGAGTTGGGAATGTTGATCAGAGTCTGACATATTGTAACGCAGTCCTCCTTCCCTAGGTCTCGCCACAGTCTCTCTCTCTTGCCGCGTAGAATCCATCTGCGAGCTCTTTGGTTCAAGTATTTCTCTCTGTCTGCTGCTCGAGGGGTTATTCGCCCCTCCTCTGCGGCTGGGCGACTAATTCGAGGCTAAAGCCTCTGAGTAAGTGTCATGGTCACGGCTTTGCCACATGGACCACGTCTCTTGTAAAACCGGCTCCCATCGCCGCCGTGTCTATCCTCTTTCTATCCCAAATACTAAGTTTATGACTTGCCATGCCCTAGCCTCTTGTGTGCCAACCCACAAATGTTGTGGTACAGCTTGTTTTGATTTGGTCAATGTCGAACCACAACGTTTGTGGGTTGGCACACAAGAGACTAAAGCATGACGAATCATAGACTTGGTATTTGGGATAGAAAGAGGATAGAAACCGTTGAAGCTAATGCTGGTTGGCTAACAATAATCGTGATTCAAGGATCACGCTTATGATCAAACTTGACTATTGTTGGCCATACAGCTTTAGTCTCCACCGTGTCTTTCCTCTTTCTATCTGTGATCCCATGTCCATCACTTCTTACATCCTAGTTTCTTGTTTGACAACATTCAAATGCCGTGATTCTATTTTTTTTAATTTTTTTATTAGGCTCACTAAAGACGTCTTCTCTTTGCTTCTGGTTGTTCCTTCCTCATTCCCTTTCGATCTCTTTTCCTAAAATTAAGGATACTATTTTGTTCCAGTCGTCTTCTTTTTGCTGATCTTGCTGTTGTCTGGTCTTCTCCGAGTTTGTTT